GTAGAAAGGGTTTTGAGAGGCTCAAGCAAATTCTCACTTGCTGTTCCAAGGTCTGCTTCTTCCCAGACTTGTTTTTCTTCCTCTCAGGCATTTATGACCAGGAAACAGTGATATTATCAAAAACTATTAGAAACATTTAAAAAAAATAAATCCATTGCAGTTGTGGAAAAAAAAACCCAAATCACTGGAAAGAGATTTTAAAATAAATCTCACTGTATATTACAAGTGATGTTTATTCTTCTGCAATTTCACAAGCTCAAGAACCAAGGGTGTCTTTTCTTCCATGTCTGTGCTTGCACATGTGCCGTGAGCTTGCTGGAGTTGTTTCATGTTTGCTTGAGTTATTCTGTTGTCTTAATCCTAAAACCTGCTGGCGATGTTTGAATGGGGGTGAGTTTGACAGTGTAACTTTGCCTGTTCTTGTCTTTGTGTAGTGCCTGACCCTTTTGTGAGCTCCCAGTTTCTGCAGCTTAAACCTCGGTAGTTATATCCAGAGACAGCAGGAGTGTTGCTGTGTGTAAATGAGTGGCCATCCTGGGACATGCAACCTTTATATATCTACAGTGTTTTACTGCTCAGAATGGGCACTATCACCCCGAATTGTTTCACTGTATATTTTGCAAAGTCGTTTTTAATTATTTTAAATTTTATTGTCCTTTCTTGAACTTCTGACTTCAGGCTGTGAATGTGCTCTCACTTGTACAGTGCATATTTAGAGGCATGCTCCAAAGCCAGGGACAGATGTCAGAACAGCTGGCTGGCAACAGCGTGTAGGCTACAGCTACAAAATGCAAGCATTCAAGCTTGGTAATGTATCTGCAGCAAGACATGCTGGCATCCTTTGTTCCTGATGCCTTTGTTTAAAGCAGTCCATCAGCTTCGGTTTGCAGCAGGTAAGTTGAAGATTGAGGCAAGACAAAACCTGATCAAAAACAGGAAGCACAGACCTTCTTTCAGCTCATGTAGGTGAGCATGTGCTGTGAGTATGACTTTCCTTAGACTCTCTGTAGCTCAGTAATGTGTTCAATCCCAAAGTAAGTGGGATATGGTCTGTTCTCCATAAAAAAAAAAAAAAACAAACCCCTCCATGGTACTTGTTTACGGGTAACAAATTACTTGTTGCAGCTTCAACTGAAGAAAAATTTCAGTGATTAGAGACTAAAAGCCCACAAGTGAGTTATTAAACCATGGTATAAAGTTTTGTTTCCTTAACATCCTGTGCTCAGGAGAAGTAAGCCATATCCAGTCACTTTTAAATAGTAATTTAAAAGAGTATGCTCCACCAGCTTAAATATGTGACTTAATAACTATGAAGTGCTGGACAAACCTGCCAGTATGGAAATGGATGTTCACCAAATTGCTTTCTGTGCAATATTCCAAATACTGCCATGGTTAAAGCTTTCCAGGCTCTGTCTGCCACTAACAAATCATTTTTGTTTTTTTTTTGTTGGCTTTTGGTTGTGGAGGTGGGTTTTTTTTTGTGCTCAGATGACTGAGAACTTTTTGCTCAGGCTGTATTCTATCTGACATAGGGCACCTCAGCCCTTCTGCAGGATGTTGGCAATATTTTCTGTTTTCTCACAGGAGACCAAGGAATACACCCTAAGTGCACGAGGATGCTCCAATCCTGAGCCCTGCAGACTGGCTTTTCTATGTCACTTGTCCCATGCTATCATGTGGGATCATGCTAGAAAGGAAGGATGCTGAGCTGCATGGCTGAAGACATGGGAAAGGAAGACTTTGGAGTGTGAATGCTTTGGCTTGCTTCCAGCCCTGATTGTAGTCCACCTTGAGAAGAGTTGTATGTGAGAGAATGTCATGTAGCAGGGATGCTTGCCCTCCTGGCCAGAGGGGAAAGCTGGGTGGGATACACTTAGCTCTGTAAGGAGCTGAGATAGTTTCACTTCCCTTCATATTAATGACAGAATTACTCACTTCTCTTAAGTAGAACAGCAGCAGGAAGGGAGTACATGTGACTACAAATGGGAGTAGTTTTTCTTGCCATGGTTTGCATTACTGAATGATGTCACAGCAGTGACTTGTCCATGCCTTCTCCTTTTGGTGGCTTGCAGCCTCCAGCTCTGACAGTTTTCAGAGTCATAGACTGATTTGGGTTGGAAAGGACCTTAAAGCTCCTCCAGTTCCAACCCCATGCCAGGGGCAGGGACACCTTCCACTAGACCAGGTTGCTCCAAGCCCTGTCCAACCTGGCCTTGAACGCTGCCAGGGATAGGGCAGCCACAGCTTCTCTGGGCAACCTGTGCCAGTGCCTCACCACCCTCACAGGGAAGAATTTCTTCCTTATATCTAATTGGAATCTTCTGTCTGTCAGTTTAAACCATTCCCCCTTCTCCTGTTACTACAGGCTCCTCTCCAGATTTCTTGTTGGTCCCTTTAGGTACTGGAAGCTGCTCTAAGGTCTCCCTGGAGCCTTCTCTTCTCCAGGCTGAACAAGCCCAGCTCTCTCAGCCTGTCTCCATAGCAGAGGTGCTCCAGCCCTCAGAGCATCTTTGTGGCCCTTGCTATGCTAAAAACTGGTGAAAATGCTGGTGTATATGGTTTATTTTATCGTACAGTACAAAACCAAGGTAAATTTATCTGGGAACCCTGCGGTGGAAAACTTGGGCAACCCTTTTGGGTCTGGCCTCCACCAAAAGCCAAACTTCAGCTGTAAGCAACCTGATTGTGGAGCTTTCCAGCCCTGGAGATCTAGGAGGAAAGTTGTTTTCTCTGGCTTCAGGCATTTCTGCAGATGCATTGCAAGCAGTTCTCTACAGCGTCTGGATTTCCAGTAGTGTCTTGTAAGGGAATGGATGCACTTGGCTTCCAGTTGCTAAAGAAATACCAGTCGCTGCTACTGCAGTATCTGATGTGTTCTGCAGTGTACCCTGCTCTCAAGACCTGACCATCTGAATGCTCTGCCACTCTCGGAGGAGGAGGTTTGCTCTGCCGTGGGGGTGGATCCCTTGCGCAGACCTCAAACCCCCAGCCTGAGAAAGGCGGATGGGTGAAGGCTGGGATAAGCGGCAGGGGCCTGGCCGCAGGGTGGGCTCGGCCGCGTGTGCGGGCGAGCAGAGGGAAATGAGCTCACTTCTGCGGCTCTCCCTTCTGCAGCCCGCTTCCTCCTCATTTACATCTCGCACCCTGGCAGCTGTGGGAGAAGGAAGAGCGGCGACCGCAGGGATGGAGCTGCTTGTGCTGGACCTGCCTGCGGGAGCAGAACCAGGGTGCAGCCTCACCCCCCAGCACTGAGGTCCAGGAAGTGGCTGCGGCTGAGCCGCTGACCAGCTCCCCTCTTCCCTTCCCGAATGGCCTGTGCTCTCAGAAACGTGTTTTTTGCTTTCTACTAAGACCTATTTCTGACACCTTCTGAGTCTCATAGAGGGTACTTGCATCTTCTGGAGACTAAAAGGTCAAAGGGATCCTCTATGAAATTAGAGGAGCTCATTGTTGGTGTCTACATCCTCAATCAAATGTCCTTCAAGCCCAAGGATGCAATTTGCCATGGTGCTGGATGCTCATCTGGGTCCATGTAGGCTCACTGCACATGTTCAGTCTGGTGGGGTTATTTCCTTCCCCTCCTCCCTGAACTCATGCAGCCCCGATGTCTGCAGGTGTCAGCAACCAAACCAGTGCGTTGCTGCAAAGGCAAGTGAGCAAGCTTTGCTCAGAAAAACACAATTAATTCTGAAGGCTGCTTTGAAGACCCTCTTTCCACCAGAACACCTGGCAAGAACTAATGGACTCCTGGTGGCTGAAAATTGAGGAGTGAAGGTGAGCTTGGCTGTGGATAAATGGGTAATTGTGGAGCGAGACCATGCCAGGAACATGGGCTACTGATGGAAAGGGAGCAGGAGTGTGGGGGATGGAATTGACCCAGAGGAGGATGCTCTTGCTACAAGGGGTTCCAGGCACATGAGCTGCTGCTAAACCAGAGCCTGAAAGCTGTAGTTTGGTGGCTGAATGTCAGCACTAGCATGTGCTTCCTTGGAAGAAGACAGCATGGTAAGGTAAACAAGCACACAGGTTGTTTGGCGGGGGGGGGGGGGGGGGGGGGGGGGGCGAGGAAGCAGAAGATTTTGAAGCTGATTATAAATTGCTGATTTTTGTCTCTTGGTTTCCACTGCAAGAAACACACCTAAGGGAAGCTGTGCTTCTTGCAGAGCTCCAGTTAAGCTGCAGCACTGGGCTGCAGAGATGCCATGCTCATGTACATGAATGTATCTGTACCATCCTGGAAGGGGACATCCTTAGTTATCCCCTGGTGATAAATGGTGCAGTGTTGAAAAATTTAGCCAGATGAACTTCAAAAGCTGTAGCTTAAAGTTGCCCATTTTAGCTTTTCCCTTTTGGCCATGTAATGTACAATCTGTTTTCTTTTTTATGTTCACAGTTCATCTTAAATTAGAGGCAACTGCTGCTACCAGCAGCTTCTGAGATATGGTAGACCAGCTTCCTAGAGCAGGTGATTAAATTAAGTAACTTCTTGATATGTTTGCACTGCTTGTGCATGCTTCAGCCAAGCAGCAAATGGAAATTTGGTGTGGGATTTAAAGATAAAAGTTGGATTTTCTTTAATTTTCGGAGTCATCACTGACCACAGTGCCTGGGAATAAATGGCTGGAGGGAAATGTTGGTCTTCACCCTGTGACCACTCCTCTCTTTCTGAGGAGGTCCAGCAAGTGAGATGCTGCTGTGACAGAGTCGGTTGCTCGAGCCTACCTAATATTTTCTGTTTGCAGTTTCCCATGAGCCTGGGGATTGTGATGTTAGGTGACTTTGACTGTTTCCATACCTATTTGCTGAAGCCCTCCCAGGCTTGTTTCCTGGAGCAGCTGGTTCATCTCCCCATCATTGCAGGGGTGCTCTGCATCCTCTCCTTGTCAGGCAAAATGCTGGAGGCTGAGTGGAACCAGAGGCTTTGCGGGGATGCTTTGCACCATCATCCCTTGCAGAATGACTTGCTTAATTCTCTTCAATTCTCCATTGCAGTGGGAGAAACATTTCTGATTTGCTTTGCCCTGACCCATCCGAGGCTGTGGTCCTGCTGTGGTGTGGGCTGTGAATGACCCTTCTCTTGGTGATTCCACTTTGGAAGAAATCACATTTCTTGCAGGAAAACAAGGGGCATGCTAAGGTGTGGTGTTGGGGTTGCTCTTTTCTGTTGCAGTTTCCCCTTTCCCATGGGGTTCTGGTGCAGCAGCCTGGGGTTGACCAAGAGGCTGCCCTCATGTTGCAACTTTTCTCTTGGTTTGTGCTTGGCAATTTGAAGGTTGTTAAGGGGAAAAGATGATTTGGAGGAAGGAAGAGGTGGGAGGAATGGAGGAAGCTCAGTGGGTGGAAAGTTGTACGGGGATTCCCAGTCCTATCCTGCAGCTGCAGGAATTTCTGTTTTACATGTGGACACTGCTTGAAGCAGCTGAATTTTCTTCAGTGTAATCCACCTGTGTTGCTGAGCTGTTCCTGAAGAGCTGATCAGAAGAGCAGCTGCTGGCAGCTCGATCCCTATCCCTTTACTGCGCTGATGTTATAAAATAAATAAAACCCCCTCAAAGCACACGTCCACTTCTTGCCAGGAGGGCTGGGTTGGGGGCATAATGCTGCTCGAGAGGGAGAGGAGGGGAGCAAGTAGCAGTGTTGGGATATTTTCAAAGCCATATGGCTGCAGGATGTGGGGAAAGTGTGAAATGCAGCACTGTTGACAGATGCCCCAGCGCAGAGCTGGTGCCTGCTCTGCAGGACCAGCTCTGGTGTGTGGCTGCTTTCTGTGGAGGACAGGGTGGCTGGGTGCTGTGGGGGCTCTTCCATCCCATAGTGCCCTGTCAGTGAGCACGTTCACTGCTGGGGAAAGGGGGAGTTCACTGGCTTGGGTTTGGTCAGTCAAAGTTATGATCTGGGGATGAAGAAGGGGATGACATACGTTGTTTCCTCTCCCAGCCCCTCCTGGGCTACAGGGAAGAAGATGGATTGACCTTTGGGACATCACCTTGTTTGGTGGCACCATATGAAGGAAATCTCATCAGAAGGTCACCTCTGAGCTTCCAGATCACCCAAGAGCAGAATATTACCACAGGTGAGAATGCTCAAGGTTTACAGCTCCAGGACCTTCCAGCCCTGGAGTGAACCTTTGGCAGCTCCTGTGTCTCTGAGCATCAAATGAGTGGTTTTAGTGTGGATTGGGCTTGTGGCAGGGATCTGGGGATGAGGAGTGGGTTTGTAATCATTGGCTGGTCTCAGCTCTTTGTGTGACCTTGAGCAACATCATGGGAATTTTGCCCTGTTGCAGAGCTTCTGCCATCTGCTCTGGTTCACTTGGATGAGGAGTGCTTCCTTCTTGATTTTTACACTTCAAACTTCCTTGAAAATGGAGGAAATGAAACCACAGGGCTTTCCTGTGAGTGACATGGGAGAGCTCAGGATCCTTACAGCGAAGAAATGAAATTTAGGGTAAAAAAGGCAGAAAATAATCCCTCCCTCATCATTTGTGCTGGCTGCAGGAGTTTGGGGGCCACTTGGTCTGGCCAGGCTGGGATGCCCCTTGGTGGGATGCTTGGTGTGCCACAATAACACTGTTGATCTCCCAACTGCTGCAGAAGGTCCTACTGGATGTGCAGCACAGACATTCATGGCAGTACCTGCTGATCCTACCAGGCAGGGTCATGTTACAGGGCTCAATCCTTTCTCTGTAGTTTTGAACCCTTTCCCAGCTAGGTAAATCCAGGAAAACTGTTTTTCCCCTTGGCAAATGGGCTTGCTGGGGATTTGGGTGTGCATGAGGACCCTGGGAGGAGACGTGCAGTGGGAGACAGAGAGCAGGGATGGATGGGGATGAATAGGAATGGGGCCTCCCTGTTCATATTGCCTTGAAATGTGGATTTTTGTCTGGCTCTGCCTTGGCAGTTGTAGGAAAAGCCATTTACGCTGACTCACAGAGGGACTGGCACTTGGGAGGTCTCTGTATCTGGATGTGTCTGACTTGCACCCTGAGTGCTGGGTTTGCTGAAATCTCGAGCAGCCCCAGGTGACCCAAAGGTGTGTAGACAGTGGGATCTGAGCACCCCAAATCTCACCTGGGCTGGGCACTGGTGTCCCAAAGTGGGGACTCCACTTCTGGGGACATGTTCAATCTCATTTTGGAATGCAATGGGAAATAACAGTACCTCCCTCTTTCCATGAGGAAAGGACATCCCTTGGCTCCTGTTGAAGCCCCTGTGCTGCATGCCAGAGGCAAGCAGGGGACGCCACGGGAATAGTTGCCATGTGGGGGAGTACCGCCCAGCTGGTGGCTTTTCTCCAGCGCCAGAAGGGTCAGTGGCATAGCTCTGCAGGCAGGAACCCCCCATCTCCCTGGTCACTAACTGCTGCCTGAAACCTGCAGTATTTCACTGCTGGGACTGCGCAGAGGGGTCTTGGTGCAAGGGCTGGCCCCAGTGCTGGTTTGTTCCTGGAACAGCCAGGAGCTACACGGCCCTTGACAAGGGCTGGTTCCCCTCACATCTCTCTCCCTGCCTGCCCGGCCCCCACGGTTCCTCCTTGCTGGGGAGCTGTGTGCGAGTGCATGACCCGGGTTGTAAGTGCTGAGATCAGTAAGCAGAGTGCCTGGCCACGCTCTCTGCCTCCATGTGACTGCAGTTTCCGTTGGCTCCTTCCGCAAAGGCTATATTAGCACTAAGTGAGAACGCGAGTGGGAGAGAAAACCCAGCAGGTTGCACCTACCCTTGGCCCCAAGAGCACACCAGAGAGGCCACCGGCTGCAGGATGAGTTGGGGCCAACGCTGTGTGCTACACCACGCAGTGAGTAACTGCCCCCTGATACCTTTACCAGGGGAAAGCCCTGCCGGGGGGTTTTGGGGAGCAACCCTTGCCGCCTTGAATGTGGTGGCCATGCATCTGTGGTGGCCATGCATCACTGATGCCCACGCTCCCAAGAGCCGTGGCTGTGTGGGCCGGTGCCGGTGTGCACATGGAGAGCACCTCAGGTGCTCCCAGTCCTCTCACATGTGGGCTTCTCTGTAGGGCTGGGGTTTCCTGCTGGTGCTGCTGTCACTGTCCTGGCTGGGTGAGCAGCATCCTGGCAGCCCCAGGGAGGAGTGTGGGAGAATGAAAGGTCTTCTGGTGTTGGGGGAGGCCAGTGCTAGGTGGCAAAGAGGCTGAGCTGGGTGAAGGAACGTGTGAGCTTCCATGGAGGGGTTCAGGGGCTGAAGGGCAGCTAGAGCCAAAGTCCCCATTGTTTTGGTTGCAGTGAGGACAAAGCAGGGTCTCCTGCCGCTGTGTCTGGTGCAAGGTGCTGCTGGAGACCAAGGGCTTGGGAGGGTGCAAGCTGCTGAGCATCAGCTCCAGCCTGGGGAAGGCGGCTTCCTCTCCATCCCCACCAGAATAATGAATGCTGTTTTGACATATTAAAACACCAGCATATCGCTTTAGGCTGGCCCAAGGAAGGAGACAACCCAGTATATGTTCCCTGCTCCCTCTCTGTTAGGAGGCTTTGACCTGGGCTGCCAAAAATAACCCTGTTTCTTCTTCAAGCACTGGCAGTTATGAAGACACCACTTGCCAAGTCCTTGCTGAGAACTTGCTGCTCATTTGCCTGAAGTTCATCTTTTCCCCAGATGCAAATGCTGTCAACTCCGGTTCCACCAAGTTAGTAACAGGGCACCTTGTGCTGGAGACCCTCTGCTTCCCCAGGAGAGAACCTCCAGCAGGGGCAGGTGCTGAAGGGACTTGTGGTGGCTGGGCTGGTGTCCCCTGGGAGAGCATTTGACACCAGAGGCAGAAGACACAAGCACTGGCATGGGGGAAAGCCTCTTCTCGAGGGTTGCAGCTCAGTGGTGTTTGTGAGCAGCTGTGCAGTGACAATGGTGCCTTTCCCATGTGTGCTGCCAGCCCAGTCCCCATCCCTTCTTTTCTCCTGCCCTCCAAGCTCTCCTGGGTGGACCCTCCAAGGGCTCCTGATGGCGTGGGTGGGCTCAGTGCCGGGGTTCCTCACCACTTCTCCATGGGCAGCTCATGGTTGCCACCAATATGGCCTGTTGGGAGCCCATTGCCTCTGAGTGCTCCTGGGGCAATGCTGGGAGGTGTGTGCTTGCAGGCAGCAGCCATGGGCAGGAGGCCTGCTGTGCACAAGGATCACCACTGCCATGGTGGACTCCCTGGAAAACCTACGCTTTTTGGGATGAGCAGTTTTTGACCTTTTCACTTCTGTCTTCATCTCTGCAGGAGTGCTGCTGCTGACATGAAGGCCCCGCTCCCTAGTCTCTTCCTGCTTCTGGTCCTCCTGGCATTGGGATGGGGAAGCAGGGCAGTCACAGCCTGGGCAACATCTTCTGGCAGCTGCAAGCTTGTAAGTCCACCCTTGCAAACCCTCATGCTTCCAATTGCTTGGTCTTGCCCTGAAAAATCCCAGACGCCTCAGCATCTTCAGTCCTTCCCCCTCCCAGCTACTAGCTTAGTGAAGGACTGGACTGGGTGCCAAGGCTCTAAGCATAGAACCACCTCCTCCATCCTCGCTCTGCTCCCCAGACTTCTCCCTCCCCATTTCTCTCCACCTCCTGCCTCTGAGGGTGGCATTACATATCCACTTCATGATTTAGGTGCAGAGCACCATGGACTGCACTGGAAGATGGCTCAGCTCTGTCCCAGGAGATGTTCAAGGCGATACCGAGGAGCTGTTGCTTGATGACAACACTATTCAGGTTCTGGGCAATGAGTCTCTGCTCTCGTACCACCAGCTGCGGTGTCTCAGCTTGACCAAGAACCGGCTGGAGCTCATTGAGCCTGGTGCCTTCCTCAGCAGCCAAGGCCTCCATGTGCTCTCCTTGGCAGACAACCTTCTCTTCACCAACTACTCACTGACAGCAGCTGCTTTTTCTGCTCTGCCAGCTTTGAGGATGCTGGATCTATCTGGAAACCACCTCACTGAGGACATGGTATCAGTTTTGGTCTGCAACCTGTCTTCCCTGGAGTCCTTGTCAGTGGCCAGGAACATCATCATGAGGTTGGACTCATCCATCTTCACGAACCTGACACAGCTGTTGGAGCTGAACCTGGAGAAGAACTACATCTTTGAGATTGATGAAGCTTTCACAGGGCTGCAGCGGCTGCAGAGGCTCAATGTAGCTTACAACTACCTCCCGTGTGTAGTAGAGTTTGGGCTGACCCAGCTCAGGGTGCTCAATGTCAGCAACAATGTCATTGAGTGGTTTCTGGCCCTGGAAAGTGATGACCTTTTTGAGCTGGAGGTGCTGGACCTGTCCCACAACCACCTCCTCTTCTTCCCTGTGTTGCCGCGGCAAAGCAAGCTGCACTCCTTGCTGCTGAAGGACAATGAGATGAGCTTCTACCAACGTCTTCCCAATGGCACATCCCTGGCAGATGTTACAGTGCAGTTCCTGCTCGTTGATGGCAACTCCACCAACATCACAACGGTCAGCCTCTGGGATGAGATCTGCCACAGCAACCTCTCCTCCCTGCGCCTTCTAGACATGAGCTGGAATCAGCTCTGGTACCTGCCGGAGGGTTTCCTGGCCCAGATGCCTTCCCTGACCCACCTGAAGCTCAACCAGAACTGCCTGGAGATGTTTCACCTGTCTGAGAGGGACCCTTTAGCCATGCTGACAGAGCTGGACCTCAGCCAGAACAGGCTGGTGGAGCTGGGGGTGGAGGTGGGTGCCAGGGATGTCCTGCCCAACCTGCAGCTCTTCAACCTCAGCACCAACAAGCTGCGGACGCTTCCTCCTGGGGTTTTCACCTACACCAGAAAGATCACTACTGTGGACCTCAGCCACAACCAGGTTGAACTCTGTCCCCAGCCTGTTGTTGCAGGTGAGGCAAAGAGTCCCCCCTGTGTGGACATCAGGGGTGTCAAGACCTTGACTCATCTCTCCTTGGCTGGCTGTGGTCTGAGGGGACTAGGTGGTCACCCCTTCCAGGGAACACTGCTGATGCATTTGGACCTCTCCGACAACCATCAGGTACTGTCCGGGGAGCTGGGGTGGCTGCAGGACCTTGCTCTGACACTGCAGGTGTTGTCTCTGAGGAACACCAGTCTCTCCTCTACCACTGTGGACTTCTCTGCCTTTAGCAGCCTTGTGCACTTGGACCTTTCGGGGAATTCCTTGACTGCCTTCCCCACCTCACTGGGTGCCCTGAAACTGCGCAGCCTGAACCTGCGGAACAACTACCTCCCGGCTCTGCCAAAGGACGTGGTGCAGGCACCACTGGGGAAGAGCCTGCGGGAGGTCTACCTCAGCCAGAACCCCTACAACTGCTGCACCCTGGGCTGGTGGGACTCCCTGCAGCGGGTCAAGGGCTTGTGTGTCCCTGACGGGCAAGAGGTGACCTGCAGCTATGCCTCCCGCACGCTGAGCCCCAGGGCACTGCCCGAGCCTGTTCTGCGGAGCTGCCGCTGGCAGACGGCCGATCTGGCCCTGCTCTACCTGGTGCTGGCCCTGCCCACCTGCCTGACGCTCCTGGTGGCCTTTGCCATCGTCTTCCTCACACTCAAGCCGAAGCTGCTGAAAATGGTTAAAACTCGGTGTGGGGTGTCCAGCTCTTGCTGATGGCTGAGGAGTAGTAGGAGGAAGGGCTCGGGAATGCTGCATGCGAGTGAGTTGTCAGGATTACAGGCAGTGACCCCTCCAAGGTGGGTGAGTTGGAGTCATGATGGATGGAGCATCCAGGGGGTGCAGGGAGAACTACTGCTCCTGCTACGGATGCCGTAAGGGTACCTGAAGGGTGTGGGGCCATGTCTGGTGATGCAGCCTGAGGCCATGCTGAACATTCTCCAAGTCTTCAGCAGAAACCATCAGCTGTTGTTGGCAAGAGTCAGAATCAGAGAATCAAATGGTTTGGGTTGGAAGGGACCTTAAAACTCATCCAGTTCCAACCCCCTGCCATGGCCAGGGACACCTTCCACTAGACCAGGTTGCTCCAAGCCCTGTCCAACCTGGCCTTGAACACTGCCAGGGATGGGGCAGCCACAGCTTCTCTGGGCAGCCTGTGCCAGTGCCTCACCACCCTCACAGGGAAGAATTTCTTCCTAGAATCTAAACTAAATCTCCCTTCTTGTCAGTTTAAAGCCATTCCCCCTTGTCCTATCACTACAGGCCCAAGTAAAAAGTCCCTCTTCAGATTTCTTTTGGTCCCTTTAGGCACTGGGAGCTGCTCTAAGGTCTCCCTGGAGCCTTCTCTTCTCCAGGCTGAGCAAGCCCAGCTCTCTCAGCCTATCAAGTTGAGCAGACATGACACGAAACACCTCTTGGGCAAAGTGGCATGGACAGTTTCCCCCAAACGTGTTCCCCCACCCTCCTTCAGGCTGTTTCTTTTATTTATTCACCCCAGTAGCCAGCTCCCTATTGCAAAACATCCTCCAGGTCTGCAAACAGCCTCCATGAATTGCTGGGCTGGAGCTGCACCACCAGGGCACTACAGAGAAGGGTTCTGTGGCCGCAGCTCCAGCAAGCACACAGGCAGCCCTGGGTCACCCCAGTGTGTGTGCCGGTAAGACAGGTGTTGTCAGCAGGGCTGAAAGATGTGTTTTGGGGTGTGTTGCTTGGTTAAGTCACAATTCCAGTTAGAAAAGCCCATTAAAAATAGGCCAGGCTGCAACAGTGTAAAATACTGATCAAAAGACAGTAGAGTAAGTTAAATCACTTGCAGTATTTTGCTGCAGATTTCTTTTTCTCCAGTAACTGCTGGATTAAACAGATGCAAAGGAGATGAAACAAGAGAAAGCCTTTCTCCCTGTTGCATATGCCCTCCTTCCTGCTCCCATGGGCTGGTAGCTCCAGCGGTGGTTGGGGTTTCTCCACCCAGCCCTGCTCACAGCAGTACCCGCACTCTTGTACCAGCAGCACTACCTGGGGAAGTGCTGCTTTGTTCCTCGGAGAGTTACTGTGGGTGGAAATGAGAAGTGGTGGTGGTTTGTGTTAACTCAAAAGCCCTGCTGGGACCTGGAGTGGCTTTATGCTCATGGCTCCGTAGGGCCTTTTCCAGTCTGCAGAAGATGCAGTAAAGCTATTAAGATGGACTAATGAGGTAGCAAATATAGTGTGATAATGGGTTTATTTAATGAACTCATCAGGTTTCTTATCCTTTCTAGTCTCTCACTGCAAGGATTATCTACTGGTTTGAGTCGGGATACACAGTTCATGGAGGCTTGGGGAAAATTCACTCTCTACACTAGAACTTAGGAAGTCTTTAAAATATCGAAGTCCTTAAAGTGTTGCCACTTCCATCTCATGCTATCAGTAAAAGGCTAAACTTGTCTCGACAGCTACAAAAAGGAGAGTCTCTACAGCTTGACGTATGTTCCAGTACTACAAAGAATGACCGTACAGTAATGGCTCAGCTGTGGAGTATCCAGGCATAACTTCAGTGCAGGATCAGAGAATTTCTGAGACTGTGTCAGGAAGTGTTACTAGGGATGCTGGGTACAGCTCTTCACCCTTATTTTAATAATGTAAGGAAATATACAGGAATATCCAGTTTTATTCATAGGCAGAGAATGAACACCTGTCCATTGATGCAGCCACCCACAATGACATTTGGGTCGCTTGGGCTGAACTGAAAGCAGTAGATGTCTTCAGGACACTCCAACAGTAGCTAGAAGGCAAACCAAAAGAGTTGAGAAATACAAATCACTCAGGTTGCTTGTTCTCTTGTTGTTTAAACACCTGACATATCAAAATTGCTGATGAAATACCTGAGGCTGGATAGGGTCAGAAACACTCCAGAAAAGTATTGCTGATTGCTGCAGCAATGACTTGTCAGAAAGGTTAATGTGTTCTTCGTAAGAAAGCCTCTGTCTTGCTGACACTGCTATGATCCCTGAGTGAGAAAACAAATTTTCTCAGAAGAGACAATTCAAGTTTGAACATGCTGTTAATTATTCTGAGCGACTTGTACCTCCTGAATACAGTGAAAAACAAAACCAAAAATGACCCCCAAAACCCAGCCATGAATTGATATTGCTCTCTTTACAGATCAACTCTGAGGAAATTGGTTTTGTTGCTTTAAGTTATTCAGCAATGAGCCATAGAACCTAAGCTTCATGGTAAAATTCAGGGGTTTTGCTACTGCTCCTGAATGGTGTAATACTGCAGCTGAAATGATGGGACAGGCTTCTAGTGCCCATCATGAAATGAAATCTTCTGTAGCTGAATTTGTTTTCTATGGAGGCTCATGGCAGGTGTACCCACCCTGAGAAAGCCCTGACCAAAGCCCTCAAAATCTTCCCACCACAGAGCCCAGGAAAGCTCCCCACATGCACAGCTCTTGCCCTATACACAATGGTGTTGGTTGGAGGGTGCAGGGACAGGAAGTTGGGTCCTGAGCCCATGGGGGGTTACATGACCGTGTCTGAGCACAGCTCAGGTTAGATCAGGGTATAAAAGGAGCCCCACTGGGCAGCCATTTGGAGTCAGTCTTCCTCGGAGCAGCAGGTCTGCAGCTGGGGACTCTCACCTTGGGTTGGGACGTTGTCTAAGGTAACATTTGAGGTTGAGAGTCCTCCCTTTTGGGTGAGTGATTGTGCTTTGTCACATGTGGATCGTTGGTCAGAAAGTTTAGGATTCAGCAGTGTAGTGACGAATCCATGTGACATCCCAAACCTGTAGCTGGTATTGATGGAGCTTTAATTGGGTTTGAACAATAAATTTCATTTAGCCTCAATTTGGTGGCTCCATGACATTTAACTTGGCATAGCCGGCAGGGTGTCCACATAGGAATTGTCACGGAGGCAGGGATGCGCCCCTTCTCTACCGGGTGAAGGTGAAGCGGTGGGGCCCACGGGCGATCCTGCGATTCGAGCTGCGGCTGTGGTAAAGGGAGCGCGGGCGCCATGTCGGGAAGGTGCTGGGCACAGGCACAGGACTGTTGGCAAGGAACGGTTTGGAGCAGCAGCTGGAGCAGACCGTTTGAAAGGGGAACTGGAAAGAGAGCGACCGCGGTTATTTGAACTAAGAATTGTAATTATGCTGGCACGAGCTGAAGAACTCCTCCACAGTACTGTCCGAATTCGGACGCTGGTTGCGGGCACAATCCCGGAGGATTGGGACAGGGATACCTGCAGAGACTGCGATGGGAGCGCTCCTGAAGAGGTGGCTTTGCTGGAGGAAAGGGCCTTGTGACCTCTCGTTAACACCGAGAGGCAGAGGGTGTGCACGGGAACCCTCGAACCACGGTCCGCAGGCTCCTGCTCAGACCTCAGCTCAGGGGTTGCACACCCAGTTTTTGCGCAAGCCGGGCGAAACCGGAACGGGGCATCTGTGGAGGGGCTCTGACGGGGGAGGTCGGGTACTGCTCAGTGGCGAAGAAGGGAGCGGGTTTTGGGGTCCTGAAGTTGTTGTGAGCAACGGGCGGTGGGCGATCTCGTAATAACCTTCTGAGTGGCTTCTCGGGCTGGGGATAGAGCCCAGGAGCGAGAAGCACCGGCCACTGTTACAGTGAAAGGAGTGTCGGAGCTACCGGAGAGGGGACAAACTGCTGCGTGCATCCCAGCAGTGTATGAGAGAGGGCTGCCGGGAGTACCGATGTCCGCCCCAGGAGATCCCGGCCACCTCGGACCCCTCCTCAGAGGGTTACCAGATGCCCTCAAAAATACCCGTTCAGTCTCTCACTGGGAGAATCCCGGCAGCCGTTGGGCACGATCCGCCCCGCAGGATCTTCCGTGCGTGCTCTGAGTGGGGCGGAGACGGGACACGAAGTAGGGCGGGAGGTGGGCTGGGCTGATCCGATCCGCGGGGGTTAGGGCGCGGGCAACGAAGAAGCGGTTAGTACTGTGATCGCTGTGGTCATCTGGGGTATCTGTGTGCCTGCCTGCCTCCCCTTCCCACTGCAACGGCAGCTCAGGGACGTGGGCTGCAGAAGCCGCAGGTAAGTGCTCTTTGCTCTAGAGTGCTTTCGCCCACCGTAGCTCCAGAGAGCAGAAAATGTCTTGGACATATCAAAAACCCTCAAACCCGAACAAACCCCCAACAAAACCCTAAAGCCCCTAAGTCTTCAAAAGGAGTGAATACTTCGGGGAGGAGGGAGGAGGAACTTGCAGGAGCCGAGTAGCAGAATTTTGGTGGCCTATGTGAATGTAGCTCCTGCAGTAGAAAACGTCTTCCCTTCTGGTGGGAGCAGGTGGAGGTGGACGTAGACTGAAGGGGTGGATATGGCATGTGGTAATGTTAAATACAACAGCTGAGTTGTATTTAAGATTTTTACAGCTTATTAGAGTCCCGACAGACCCAGAACTTTGAAAACTATTATTAAACAGACAGAACATACAATATAACAGTATTAATGACAGTGGAACAAGTGTGCCAAGAATAGTTGTTCTGTAACCACGTCATTAGTATAACTGCAAAATGCTTTATTTCTGAAGCCGAACATCTTCTGGTGCAATAAAGAGGTCATGAAATAAAAAGCTGGCTGGTTCCAAATGGGCTCTAAGCATCTGATGATGAAAGCATTTCTTGCCCCTTTTCTAGTCCTAAATCCAGTAGTATCTGCTTCAAGTCCAGAAACACATATAGTCTGCATTTTTTTGTTCCTTCATCTCTTCTGTTTTATGTAGTTATACTCTGAAGGAAAAACACATACCAGGCAATAAGCTTTGAAACTTGTACGCAACCCCATTGCTTTCCAGTGGATAGTATCAGTGCTAACACAAGTTAATGAAAATAGATGTCACCTAGGGCTGCATTAACTGAATTGTCATTTCCTTGACGGATTAGTTGGTATTATTACACCATTTACCAAAGAATGGATAGGCAAAACCCTTGAGTGAATAAAGAATGGAAGGCTTGAAGAAGCAAGGTTTATCTATTAACTTTTAGATATAATAACTGATGTTAAAAGAAAAGCAAATTCATAGTTGTTAAATATCTGTAGGCTCTAATTCTCTTGTAGGAGTTTCACTTGACCAGGAGCTGAACTCACTTGAACTAGGACCATCTATTCCACTCCTTAGATTTGCAAATATGAAATAAGGAGCTGCTAAGCTATTTTGATTATGTCCATCCTGATTTTTTAAAATACTACAGAAAATCCTGCCTGGTGAAACAGGTGTGTATTTTAAAGACCCAAAGAAACAAAGTTATCTTAGTTCCAAGTGTAACGTACTGTTTTCTTCCTTTGTGCTTCCAGATGGATTTCTGTTCTGTTTTGGCTTGAAGGTCTTGATACTCTCGAAACTCTTGTTCACAGTACTTCAGATATTTGACTTCTCTTTCAAAATAATCAAGAATGCTGTCATGCTATTAAAAAATGACAAAAAAGGGTCATTACACACCCAAAGACACAGAACTATTGCTGATGATCTGAACTGTATTAGGTTATCTATATTGGGAGTATAGTTATCTGTTTATCCAAATAATTTGCAGCAAAGCAATATAAAGATGTGCATTGAAAGCAGTTGATTTTGATATATATATGCATGGAGTTAAATAATTTTTATTACACTGATTCTCAGTAGATCAGGCTTCAGGAACCTGCACTGAAATAACTAAACCAATATAATCTAAATATTAGTGACTGCTCCTGGGTTAATAATTCTGTGCCTTAAATAGTGTAGCTCTAAAACATACATAAGTTGGGCAGAAGCAATGTGTTTCCTCACATTATGGCACTTGGTTAGGGCCTACCTTGCTTTGGAGAAAGTTAATTTTACTAAAATGAGGCTGCTGACCTGGTGCTACATTGCTACATACTGTGGTTCTGCAAACAGCAAACCTTTATGGGATGTTTATAAACTATGTAAGTGCATACATAACTTAAAACTGGGATAGGATGGGAAGAAGATCTTGTGATGTGAAAATATCAGACTAGCTAGCAGGCAAGACTGATAGACTGGATGAGATTAAAACAGCTTGATCTTTGGCTGGGGGAGGGGGGGGGGAAACCTGAAAATTATGTGGAAATAAAAAGAAATTAATATTGTTTTCATTGTTCCCATGGTCCTCTGGTACAGGTAGTCCTTATTCCAAAACAGAATGAATGTTAGGTGATGTTAGTAACAGTTGGCTAAATGTGCTTTAACTAAGCTAGAACCAGACGCTCACACATGTAAATCAAAGTTACCAAATTTATAGGAAAAAAAAAGATACAAATGTGGACAAGAAGGTGTAAAAATAAAAAAGTATATTTACATAAGTGCCCTATATAGCATTGATTTAATACATGAAAGCTAGGTGTCATTTTATGCATGTGGCAAAAAATGCTGAACTCTTTACTGTGTTTCCATGTAGCCAGGTTGGAGCAGAACTGGAGTTCTGCCAGTTGCCACCCAGGTTTCCTTTAGGTGCTTCTTATGTGAGCTCTGTGCAAAGCCAGCTTTGCTACAGGTGATCCTTGGAGAACATGGCCATACTGATCTCAGATTACTGCCATCCATTTGAAGGGAAGTTTTTCTGGGCAGACTTGTTTCTGTGGTGGAATTTTCAGGATAAAGTGTCACAGAGATGAATAAAAATTCTTACCAACCTCATTCATCAAGGGGTCACTTAGTGCCTGACAGATTTCCAAAATATGCAGTACTCCAAGATCATCAGACACCGCTAAAAAGTGCTGCTTTGCTGAAAGATATTTCACAAAAACATATAAGCAATGTAAATTCCAACAGTAACACATACCTCCAAACACAGGGTTCATTCTTGTTGTGGTCTTTTTGGTTTATTGTTCTCTGCAGCAAAAAGGCAGCCTTATTGCTCTCTCATTTTCTTAACAAATGAATTTCCCTTTAAGGTTTATACTTTAATTTTTTTTTTTTCAGTTGTTTTATACTGTGATAGTGCATACTGATGTATGCCTTTTTTATACATACAATGCAGTGTTAGAGGAAGTATGTACTTATCTATTATAGAAGATCATCTGCAGCAAGATTACTGTGCCTTGGAGTCATGGGCTGTTATGCAAACAGGGTGGCTCAGTAAAGTGCCATCACCATCAACATACATGAG